CGTACCGAATTTGGGAGGTTTAGCACCAGGCTGCACCCCTACTTGGGGGATGCCTGCAAAGGGAGCGAGGACACCACAGTTAGGACGGTCACCCCCCCACCACGCTCATGAGCCACCGCCCTCCATTCCACACACATCCCTCCCTGCCACCCCTTCATGTGGCTTTTAGCATTCCCAGCCACCACTGTCCCCAAGCAGGGGGGGACAAAGCGTTGTACCTGCCCCGGGAAGGATTCCAGTTCCAGGTACTCCCACCCCTGGCACCAAGCCGGGCACGCCACCAACGCCGGGGGTCACTCCGGGCACTCCGCCCACACCGGGCACCCCTCCAACCCCAGCACCTGCAGAGAGAGGGGTGAGGCAGCAGGTGTGATCCCCTGCTCGTGTGGGATGATGTGCCAGGCCCGGGTGCCCATCCCCTGCACCGCTCAATGCCTCTCCAGGGCTGGCAGGGAGACTGAGACCCGGGCTGACTCACCAAATTTGGCTGCCTTGGCTGCTGCTTTGGCTGCTGCTGCTGGACCTCCAACACCTGGGCAGAGACAGCAAGGGGAGATCAGCGACCCTGGGGAGGCCTCACAACAAACCTGGGCAGAGCCCATCCCTCAGGCCTTGTCTGCATCCCCCCAGGGGAGACTGCTGAGGTTCTCCTCAAGCCTGTCCTGCCCCCAGGACTGCCCCCACACCAGCCAGGCTGCCCCCACCCTTGCCTTCCTCCTCCTCACCTGGGACACCTCCAACACCGGGAACCAGGCCACCTACTCCAGGAACCAGGCCACCCACGCCGGGAGCCAGGCCACCTGCTCCTGCAAGGAGAAACAGGAGGGCTGGGGCTTCAGCTCAGGAGGAAAAGTGGTAGAAGGAGTTGGATGAGAGGGCATGGCAGGCCGTGGGGGCAGGGGGGAGGTGTGTGGATGGATTATGAGATGGGCATCCAGCTGGATGAGAAGTGGTTGAAATGATGGTAGGATGGATGAATGGCTGGATGGATGGTGAGATGGATATGTGGATGGTGGGATGGTGAGGTGGACAGATGGATGGAGGGGTGGTGAGATGGATGGATGGATGGAGGAGTGGTGAGATGGACAGATGGATGGAGGGGTGGTGAGATGGACAGATGGATGGAGGGGTGGTGAGATGGATGGATGGATGGATGGATGGAGGGATGGATGGATGGATGGATGGATGGATGGATGGAGGGGTGGTGAGATGGACAGATGGATGGAGGGGTGGTGAGATGGACAGATGGATGGAGGGGTGGTGAGATGGATATGTGGATACATGGATGGGTATGTGGGTGGATGTGGAGTGACTGAATAGATGAATGGAGGAGGTGCAGATGGATGGACAGAGAAGGGGACAGACGGACACTGAGGTGGTGGTGGTGGTGTGGCTGGCTGGGCAGAACAGGGTGCAGATGAGCCAATGTACAAGGTGGTGTTTGGATGGTGAACTTGGACACTCCACGAGGCTCAGCTCTGTGAGAGCAGCCATTACCCAGCCAGAACCTCCTCCCACATTCAGCCCTTCAGGGACCCCATCCCTCACCCCAAGGAGCCCAAGCACTGCTGGGCCTCAGCGCTGGCAGGGGAGCAGCCTGGGCTGGGGATGGCCAGGAGACAGGACATGAGGCACAACCCAGAGACATCCCAGCTTACCGTACTTGGCTGCTTTGGCGGCTGCTTTGGCAGCGGCTGCCGGACCTCCTGGGGGACAGGGAGTGACAGGGTCAGGAATGCGCGTGGCCAGCACTGCTGGGGACATCCGAGCATCCCTTGGGCACCATCTCACCTGGAACACCGATCCCGGGCACCAAACCGGGCACGCCGGCACCAGGCACACCCACTCCAGGCACACCCACTCCAGGCACACGCACGCCGGGCACGCCAACGCCGGGCACGCCAACGCCGGGCACGCGTCCTGCTCCTGCAGAGAGGTTCAGGGATGTGTCCGAGGGGACAGACTGCACAGCAGGAATCCCACTGACCTCCACAGCACCGGGGTGTCCCCGACTCCCCTGTGTGCCAACACACCTCCTCCCTCCCTGGGACAGCCGGTGGTGACGGTGCTGACAGTGGTGACTCACCGATCGCCGCTGCTTTTGCCGCAGCCTTGGCTGCAGCCGCCGCTGCCGGGCCACCCACTGTGGGGACACGAGGGACACAGTCAGGGCACTGCCCAGGCCAGCATGCCCCCAGCAGCAGCTGCTCACAGCCCATCTGCTCACCTCCAACACCGGGCACAGCACCAGGAACCCCAGGCACGCCAGGAACTCCAGGAACACCAGGAACACCAGGAACACCAGGAACGCCAGGAACTCCAGGAACACCAGGAACGCCAGCAATGCCAGGAACACCAGCTCCTGCAGGGAGGAGATGGGAGAAGTCAGATCTCACTGCAGCAACAGTGAAAGCTTGGGCCTCTTCCGGCTCTGTCTTTTCATCGTGGCCTGGAGAGCGGAGCATCCACAACCACTTCAGGAGAGCCCCGAGCGGGGCAGGACAAGGATCAGTTCTGTGTCCTGATAGAAACTGTGGGATGTGTTTCACGATCCCACCAGGTTTTGCAGGGCGGTGACCATGGGTCCCACACAGCACGTACCATACTTAGCTGCCTTTGCTGCTGCTGCTGCCGATGGCACTCCTGGGGACAAGCGAGACAGGGACCCTCAGCCACCATGGCCGCACAGAGCCGGGCCATGGGGACAGGGCTCCTGGAACAGTCACCTGCCACCCCAGGGACACCTCCGACACCAGGCACCGCCCCGGGGACACCTCCAACGCCAGGAACCAAGCCAGGGACACCTCCGACTCCGGGCACCAGGCCGGGGACACCGCCCACACCGACACCGGGAACGGCGGCGCCTGCCGGGAACAAGAGGGGACAAATCAGAGCTGGCTGCAGCAGGAGCTCAAAGGTGGGACCTTCCAGGGCTCTGTCTCGTCATTGTGCCCAGGAGAGCAGAGCATCCATGGCCTCATCCAGGAGAGACCCCAGCAGAGAACTCAGATGAGTCCAAAGCCATGAATTGGGGTTCAATGCCCAGCAAGTTTTTGGAGGATGGCGACCCTGGGCAGGGCCCCTCTGCCAGGAATCTCTGCCCTAATGGCAGCAGCATCGAGTCCTTGGGAACCAGATCCTGCAACAGATCAGCTGCCAGAAATGGATTTGATACAAAATCCATGAATCCAGTTAAATCTAAAGACATCAGTTGGGGCTCATCACTCACTTCCACAAGATAGCCTGGAGAAACCCCAGAGAGGGAGAAGGTCCTGCCCTGCAGATGGAGCCAGGCCCAGCTGGGAGAGGCAGGAGCTGGGCTGAGCATTCCCCATTCCCCCTCAGGAGTGACCCAGTGCCCCCCAGTGTGTCAGGGTGGGCAGGGGTCCCAGGGCTGGGACACAGCACGTACCATACTTAGCTGCCTTTGCTGCTGCTGCTGCTGATGGCACTCCTGGGGACAAGCGAGACAGGGACCCTCAG